GTGCCTGTTTCCCTTTAGTCCAGGTCTTAACTGGAGCATTCCAAAGAAAGACCAGATTCTAAGTGAGAGGGAGGAGTGGGTATCCTTTGAGGGTGGCTTCAAGGGAACTGTCCCCCCCACCCCCAACGTTAGTTTAATGCTCATCTGAGGAATTTTTAAAACTTGACTGAACTTTAGTCTTTTAATTTTCGTACCAGCTTATTTAAGCAGGTGATTCTGAGCCTTTACTCTGTGTTTCCTACAGATTCTTCCTTCTTGTTGTAGGCATTTCTTTTCCACTTAGAGAAGACCCTTCAACATTTCTTCTAGGGTAGGCTGGGTACTGATGAAGTCTTTTAGTTTCTGCTTGTCTGCGAAGTTCTTTCTCCTTCAGTTCTGGGTGATTGATGCCTTGGCTGGGCAGCGAATCCTAGGCTGCAGGTTTTTCCCTCTCAGCACTTTGAATATATTGGGTCGCTTGCTTCTGGCCGCAAAGTCCCTGCAGGAAAACCAGCTGACGGCCTTGGGAGGGTTCCCTGGAACTGACTGTTTTTCTCTTGCTGCCTCTACAGTTCTCTGTCTGTAATTTTTGCCATTTTAATTACGATGTGCCTTGGGGTGGGTGTCTCAGGGTTCATCCTGTTTAGGACCCTCTGTGCTTCCTGTACCTGGATATCTTTCTTCCTTGACAGTGGCAAGTTTTCAGCCATGATTTCATCAAATGCATATTTGACCCCTTCTCTCTTCTTCTGGGGCGCCTGGATTGTGAGTGTTAGTACAGCTGATGTTGTCCAGGAATCTCCTACACTGTTCTCATTTTAAAATTTTTTCTTTTTGCTCTTACTGCATGATTTCCATTGTTCTGTCTTGCGGATTGCGGATGCATTCTTCTGTATCATCTGGTCTGCTTTGCATTCCTTCTAGTGTGTTTTTCATTTCAGTTATCATATTCTTCAGTTCTGAGTGGTTTTTGTTTCATTTTTTTCATTTAATTTTCTACTTCCTTGTTACAATTCTCACTGTGTTCATCTGTTTTCCCAAGTTCAGTTAGTATTCTTACTATTAATGCTTTGAATTCTTTATCTGGTAAGTTGTTAATTTTTGTTTTATTATTTATTGTGAGCCCAGGTCATGTCTTCCCCCGGGGTGTGCTGGCAGTGGTCATCTTGGTAGGAGGAGGGGCTGAGCCAGGTGGGAGCTGGGCCCCCTGCTGCCCAGTGGCCATCACAGGGTCGGGTCCCAAGTTGCAGGAGCAGAATCCCTGAGGGTCAGGTCAAGCCTGCTCCATTCCCTTTAAGTGTATGTTCTTCCCCCTCCTGACACCAGGATCCCCTCCCAGAGTTGTCTGTGCAGGGCTACTGATGCACGGGCCCTCCCACTGTGAAGCCGATGGGCTGAAGCGGCTCGGCTTTGGCTGTGTGTGAGCCAGGGTAGCTGGGAGCAGGCGCACCACTCAGGAGGGTTCGTCCCTTCACTGTGTCTGACCCCAGGACCAGGGTGCCCAGGCTGTGGCTCGATACACTCACTCCCCAGGGAGGAGCTCTGCCCAGGCTCTCCCTTTTTTTCTGAGTCTCCTCCCAGGGGTACAGGCTCCGACCTCCCCACTTCTCTTCCTTTCCTGCCCGATTCTCTGTGGGTCTCCCCCCCCCAACCTGGTCAGGCAGGACTCTTTCTGCCAGTTTCCAGTCATTTTTCAGTGAGAATTGTTCCACGTGCAGAGGTATTTTTGATTTGCTCATGGGATGCAGTGCCATCGTGGTCTCCTTAGAAGCTGAGCTGAGATTCTGGTGAAGCACAGCTGGAAGGGCTGGTTCACCAGGGCTGGGACTCGGTGCAGGGTTGTGCAGAGCAGCCATGGGGCCGGCGGGGAAGGGGTGGGCACCGGAGGGAAATACCCGGTAAACAGTGGGTGTCTACCCTGTGCTTATGGATCACGTTCCCACCAGCACACCCTCACACATGCGCTCCTTTCCCTGTTGCTTGCTTTCATTTTGGTCTGGGCGTCCTCAGCTGCAGGAAGCAAACTGGTTTTGAATTTCTAAATTGCTGAGCAGCAAAACAATTAACACAAAAACTAGTTTTCTCCATGGTTCATTATCTTCAAAGAGCGGTCAGTCTGTTTAGCACCCCGAATGCTCAACAGTCAATGGCAGAAGCGTTTTCATGTGTCCGTGTTGTCTACGGCTGCAGCGGCACACACTCGTCATGCCTTTCAAGACTGTCGAGACTGTGCAGTGAGCCGTGAGCTGGTCGGGTCGGGTGCCCTGTGGTTTGATCAGACATAGTGAGCATCGTCACTAGGGAAAGATTTACCGACTTGTGTAAGACCCATAAAACTTTCCACTTGTTTGCTATGTTTTTATTAAAGCTTGAGTTTAGTACTTTGATGATTTGATCAGTATATTAGGGGGAAAATGAACAGACTACAGAAAATTCAAGGATGCAAATCAGCATTTGGGGTGTGTTCGAGTTTGTAATTGGGAAAGGCTGTTGCACATTATAGAGATGGTTTGTCCCGGGAACTTGGCATTCAGGAAGAAACGTCAGCCTAGCTGTGGCCCTCGAATCTCTGGCTTTAGCAATTTAATTCCTGTTTTAATGATAAATACCTTTCTCATATTTGGATTCCATAGGTCCTATGTTCTCTTGCTTTTCTTTTATCTATTGTTTTATTCAGCGTTAGTCATTTACTTTCAGAAATAGCATAGCAGTGTATAGTCCGTGGGACTGACACACCTGATAGGGAACATGCTAACCAGTGGCGGTTTGGGCCCGCTCTTACTGGGGTAGATGTCTACAAAAGTCTGTTGTTGGTTAAGTTAATGAGAGCTGTGTGGATCGGGGAGGTTTCCTGCCCTGCAGATGCGAGTGAGATTGCAAGAATCTAATTTTGGACCCCATGAGAGCTGAAACCCTGAGAGGAAGGGCTGGGACGAGTGTGTGCCTAGCAGAGGATTTTATGAGTGTGTGTTTGTGGGCAGAGGAAAAGTCAAGGTGAAGTCTTCTTAAATTACAGTCATAAGGAAACAGAAGACACATAGATGTGACTGTTTCTTCTTAGTTGAGTGATCAGCTCTACCCTTGGAACCATTCTGAACTGTCCTTTCCTTCTCTTACAGGTGACATCACACAAAAAGGATATGAAAAGAAGAGATCGAAATTGATTGGCGCCTATCTGCCCCAGCCTCCGAGTACGTAAACCTTGATGAATAGCATGAAGCGTCAGCTTTGAAAGTTAACTGCCACATGCAGGAGAACAGCTGAGCACAGGTCCTTCTGCGGTCCCTGGTCTGCATGTAGATCACGATGTTGAGGTGGCGTGAGCCACATCCAGCTCCCTCCTGTGATTGCAGGGTGTTCTGTGAATGGAGAAGAAACATAGAGGTTTTCTATAAATCTGCCTAATAAATTTAATAGATGTTTCATCTGTAGGGGGCAGTAGTATGTTTGATTACTTTGAAATGCTATAATCATAAAAAATATGAGCATTTGTGATTTAAACATGACTTTTGGCTTCGTGAGCTAAAATGATTGATAATGGCTTAATCAGTCCAAGGTTTTTGTTGATGTCATTGGTGGGGGCAGTTCTAGAAAACAGTGTAACATCCTGCCTGGGATTATGAAATCGTAAAGATTGGTTGTATTTTGAAATGTGATTGTCCATGTTATGGTTTCTTCCCAAGTACACATTCTATTAAATTCCAGTGTTTTCACATGTGCAGATTTGTAGACTCTCTGCGCTCAGCTGGGTTCTGTACATTTTAGGGGAAGAAAGAGGATACGGGCTGCAGCTGTCGCACCTCTGTTCTGGGGGAAGCTTAGTGCAGTCTGAGGGCGACCTTGAGAATTTTCTGGGTTAAGAAAGGCTCAGAGCTAACACAGGCCCTCCAGGAGGAGGGAGGACAGCGGCAGAAAGGGACTCTGCAGTGATCACATTGGGGCACAGTTAGAGCTGCGAGGCTCTGCTGGACGAGGTTTAGGTCTACACACGCCTGCACAGTGCAGGCCGTGCCCTCCAGGCTGCGCCCCTCCAGTGCTGCGCTGGCACAGAAGGTGCGTCCTCGCCGGTGCTCACGTTCCAGGGCATTGAACTTGGGTGTTGAGTTTCTGCTGTTGTGTAGCTTTGTTTGACTTCATGTGATTTCTTTCTCTCCTCGGTACTTGAGAAAGTTAACATGGAGGTGGGCCCGCTGTGTGGGCTGCCCTGATGACGGCCTGAGTTTCCTGCTCTCTGGTTTATAAAAGGAAGAAGCCGCGCTGTCTGAGTGAACGAAAAGTCAGTGTGTTGGCCGGCTGACCCTGAGCACACATGGGCAGACGTTCGAAGGTGGTCTCCCACCTCCCTTCTCGACCTCAAGCAGGACTGCTGTGGGGACGGCCGTCCGCATGGCCCATTATCGTGCATTTCTGTCTGCAGGTGGCCCCCCTGGTCTCAGAGGAAGGCTGGCAGGGAGACAGTAGGCGCTCGTGTTGCTGGATTTTAATTTCTGGGCCTTAGCAAACAAAGGTGAAACTGAAGCAGCTCTGTGCGTTTCCGGAAGATGGGCCTGGAGCCGCTGCAGGGCTGAGGACACAGTTGATCCGCGTCGGCTGGGCGCTGAGGGTGGCCCTGTGTGGCATGGTCCCTTTGGTGTTCTGTGTGCTGTTCTGCATGGGGTCGGCAGCTCTGCTCGGCGCTGTAACAAATTTAAAAAAAACTAAAGTTTGAATTAATTAGTTTTTTTTCAACTTGTTACAGCAGCGAATGGAGCTGCCGTGGTCCGGTGTAGACGGCAGCACAGTGAAGGAGCCCCGAGAAGAATGCTGCAGGCGGGCAACATCGGGGTGTGTGACATCCGGGACGCCGCGGTCAGAGAGCGGGTGGCCAGCACCGCAGGAAACCGGCCGCTGTTTTACTTTCGCTTCGGTGAGCGCACTTAACTGAGATGAGAGAGAGACCCCAAGACAGGCACGCGTTTGAAATGGACTGTCCAGCTAATGCCATTCTAAGCAGCGTTGTAGGGCTTAGCCTTGGTGGCACCCAGAAGGTCCTGTTTCTGAGCCCCTGTTCTCCATTCGAGCTCATGTGACTTACTGAGGCCACAGTGCTCCTCGGTCACAGAGCTTGTCACAGACCCTGGATCATGATTGTCCCACTGACTCAGGGCCCATTTCTGAGTCTTTCCTATTAAAATATAATACTCTGTTTTTACTACCCTCTTTTCACTGTTGGAGCACCACTTTCAAAACACTTAAGAAAAAGGAATACATAACAAATTATACAGTTTTTCTTAAAAACTGCTGGTCTTCCACTAACCTTTGTCTCATAGCCAGAGACCTAGGTGAAGGATGAACTCTAATGAATCCTGGCCTCTGTGATATGCTTCAGAGAGAAGGGTCTGCACCTTCGTCATGTTCCTAGGGGCATTCTCCAAAGGGCAGTTGTGGCGTTTTGAAATACAAACATTGAACCAGTTAATCAAAGAGTGTATTCTTTGAGGTCATGATCCTCTTAAGAGGTCAGAATTATTTGGGAGCAGATTTTGAATGTAAGATGCCCAAAAAGATGTGTTCAGTGCAACTTGTAGTACAGTAAGGAAATAAGCATGTAGAAGCTTCAGGGTTTTACCTCACATAAAAGACACTGCGTGAGAATCATGCGCAGGTGGTGGGTAAGCTCTGGTGTTACTGTCAGCCCCCAGGATCTCAGAACAGGGCCCTCGGCCTGGTCTCTCAGCCGTGGCTCTGTTCCCCTCCCCGGGACAGCTTGATGACGGAGGTGATGTGTGTCCTTGTGGGTAGGACGGAGGGCTGACGGGCGGGCAGTGGAGTCGGGCCTTAGCTCTGGGTCCCCGTCACCATTCTGTGAGCCTCATGCACCTGTTGAAGTGTGAGGCCAAGAGGGCTGCTGTGCTCTGTGGGCCTCGTGGGCCGCGCCATCCCCATGGGAAGGAGAAGGCAGGCTCACCTGTGGTTTGGGGATGGGGAGACCACATGCCCAGGCGGTTCTGCAGTTCTTATCACTGATCTTTTATTTCTGAGGAGTTGCCTGGGTGAACAGTCACTCGTTACGTAAAACTGCCCCTGGGAAGCAGTAAGGAGGGCCCACGGCTGTGAATCTGAGAGAGCTTTCTGGACTAGCTCGGTCTTAGAAATGATTCTTTTGGTGTAGGATCTTCCTGAGAAACTTCTTGTTTCCTTTTCAGTCACCTTATTCTGCCATAAATTTGTCTAAAAGGGGTTTGTGTTTTGATGAACTTCTTATTTCATATTATTTTTATTTAGAGGAAATACTATGATTTCTCTAAAAAGTATTTTTGAAATATTTCAAAGGAACTTTTGGGATTTCTTTGGGACACACGATTATGAATTAGGATGCCCTGTACAGCCTTCGGCAACAGCTCAGCCCCGAGTTGGAGATGTCAAGCATTAACCATCCTCGGGAAGGCCCTGGGGAAGCCGGCTGTTTCCTGGCCTTCCTCTCTGTGCAGGGGTGGGTGCCTGGGGAACCCAGTCAAAGACACGCTGTCTTAGGGAGCGCAGCGCCGAGTGCTCACCTAAGTCTGAATGAGGAACAGAGTGCCGAGCTGGACAGAACAATGAAGGTGCTGTATTCAGTGAAGGAGGGGTCAGAAAGAATATACCGAAAGTCCTCTGCAAAGAGAAAATGCTCTTCGGGAGAACTGCGTTCTTTGATGCTGGTTCTCCTGCAGTGTTTTGGCTGTAAGTTCTTGCACTGATCTCTTAGCCTGACCACACTGGTGAAAGTAGGAGATAAAACCCACTCAGCAGCAGTGTCTTGAGGGTCATCTTAATGAACGATGTTAGCCTCTGTGACTGAGTCTTCAGTGCTTTTATCACAAGGCCGTGCTGAGGTGAGGTGGTAAAATTTCAGCC